ATATAATATTATATTATATTATATTACATTGTATGATATTGTATTATATTATATATGTACACGCACATGATTTTCACATCGTGTAACTCGGCCATGGCGGGGTGCGGGGAGCTTGGCTCTGCTTAGATTCTGCGAAGCCTTGGGAGCTCCCTAGGATACTCGTAGAGGATTCTCGTGACAGTTCGGCACAGGTGCTGGAGTGGCTGCAGAACCCAGATCGTTTGCACAACATGCAGCTGAAGCACGACTTGTTGTCAGGCCGGGGCAGCCAGATCCGAAGACACTAGAATCACTACAATGACAACGGAGCCAGTGTTGGATTTAATCGACTCTCGCAAAGATGGGATGCACCGCTTTGCCAGGCGTCCGACGAGAGCGGGTCGAATTCTTGCGCGGCGTCCAGGTTGACATCTCCTGTCTCTACAAAAGACAGGGCGGTTTGGATGTAGAGCCTGGTCTAGGATGTGCGGCTCAGGTTTCAGGCTTAGGAGTTTGTTCACTCGGGTTGAGGTTGTAGTGCTTGTTGGAGAAGTATCAGGTGTAAGCAGCAAGATTGTGGGTCTCATGCGTCAGGCCAGGCTGAAAAGTTTGCGCCACCCATTGGCCAGTAAAGATGTTCCGAAGCTACCCACTACCCCCTGTCCCTCTTCATCTCACTATCGACATATTCAAGTTGTCGCACTCTGCGAGACTCCCACGTAACCACCACCAGCCAACATTGAAAGTAGTAATCCTTCGCTTTTTGGGAAAGGGTTGATTGTTGGTCCCTGCCAGGAGAGCTGACGCCGAAGGAGAGCTGGAAAAGCCGAGATCCGCTGCAGCCCTGGCCGGATCCGCAGGACAGTCGCTGGTTTGAGCGGCCGGGCAAGTGCAGCGTGATTCTGCGATGTGCCATGTCATCCTGCTCACTGTTTGCCTGCAGCTGGTGCAAAGGGTTTGCCGCGGTGGTGGAATGCTTCGGGTGTGCAGCTTGAAATCCTTTGAAGCCACAGTAGACTATGAACAATCTGACAAGAGTTCACGATGTTGAGTCGAAGGGAAGGGATTCGGATTTTCCCGTGGCTTCCTTACATAGTTTCCTTCCACCCAGCGGAGACGGGTTCAGGGAATAGGGTCCGGAGGACATCGAGCTTGACCCTTCGCAGCAGCAGGCTGGGATCACGGTTCCATAGCAGGGGAAAGATGGGGGCAAGGGAAGAAGATTCAGCGAGGGCATGGGCTGCACCTAGATAAAGGCGCGAAGGTTCGACAGTACGGTCCGAAACATTTAGTTTCAGAGCCGGGCATCTGTTCGATACTGGTTTCGATTCTCGCTCACACGCATGCTTTATTAAAGAATGCCGTTGTGCGTCACGGATGGCGGTGTTTGTCAACAAAGGATGACGCACCGGTGCTCCTCGTAATCCTTGATTCTCGGGCGGGTATGCGCATTGAGTTTAAGTGCATCAGCGGTTTGCAAATATGTTCGGAGTTCGGCCAGCATGCCTCTCGAATTGTTGGCGAAAAGTCAGCTTGTATAAGAAAAATCCTGCGTAGAACAAACAACACATCGTCAAGAATTCCGTTGTTGGTGTTGATCTCCGGGCTCGCCGCTCAATCGGAGTAGCCAGCATCCTTCAAGCGTTATGGCCCAGGAGACTCTTTGGCCCTTCGACTCTTCGACGTTGCTTGAGCACGATGGTCCTAACGAGCCCTGACAAGCCGCAGCAATCCAAGCCGGAACCAACAAAGCCACCACCACCACCACCCCCCAACCAGGCGATGAAGCATATCCTTCGCAGCAGTGTGCCACTAGCAGCTCAGCTGCGACGTATCGCGGTCGACGCACAGTGTGAGCAGCAGAGATTTTCGGGTAATCGTGCTTTCAACTGTCGTAGAAGTTAAAGCCAACCAAATCTACAGACACAGCTCCTTAATGTCCGTGGACCCAGTGCTTCATGCATACGGAAGGTACAAGGACCACCTGGCACCGGCAAGTCCTACATAGGAGCCTGGGCTCAGAATCGAGGGATCCTGGTGCTTTCGAACTTCAGGCTTCTTGGTTCGTGCTTGTTCGGGGCTTAAGAACAACTTCCATGATTCTAGGCGTCTAGGCTCTAGGCTTTGCTTGGGGACGTCGGAACGAAGTGTTTGGGGTTGTGGATAGAGTGTGCTAGGCTGCTAGGAGAACAGACCTGTTGGGTCTTCCCTGCTGAGTTAGTGGTGACCGGCAGCTCAAACCTTACAATCGATAGCCAACATGACAACTTTGGGGTATTCTTTCAAAGAACAGCAGTCCGGCTCCAACTTGTTTATGCCTACTGCCGACAGTTCAGGAGTGAAAGCAGTGCAGATCCTGCGCCAGGCACTGGACAAGAAGGCTCCACCTCGCAGGTGTTATGAAGGGTCGACGGTTACTTGTGATCCGATTTCTCAGCAGGCCTTAGATAGGAAAGAAACAAGCATTGTTACAGGTATTGAAATGAATATACAGATATGGCTGGCTGGCTGGATGGATGGATGGATGGATGGATGGATGGATGGATGGATGGATGGATGGAATGTGTGTATGTGTTTATGTGCCTGTTCATGCATGTATGTATGTATGTGTGTATGTATGTATGTACGTATGTATGTGTATCTGTGTGTGTGTATATATGCATGTACACACACATATTCTGATATTGAGATGCATACTGCTGCTACCTTGATGACTAGGTAGAATGCCGATGTAGCGCCGCATTTTGGAAGAAGCACTGGAACTTGCCGCAGAGCTCCGTGTCGCACTCTGGGTGTGGGATTGTCACGTGTCCTCCGCCGTAGCAGCCGTAGCAGTCAGGGCTACAAGGAGCCCATCGTGCTGGTTTGCTTGACCAACCACGCCTTGGATCAGTTCTTGGAAGATCTGCTGGACCTCTTCCCCGACACTCCGGATCGATTTAATTTGGACCACGGAGAGCATTCCAAAATACCCTTCATATGCAGAGTAGATTCAACAAGACCGTGATTGCTCTCCCCTTCCAGCTTAAAGTGGCATGTCGAGCTACGAAGGCTCCGACTTGAAGCCCTGAGCCCTCAAGTTCTGGAGCTCAGAGCCTTGACGCCCTCAGCTCGCAAATGAAACAAACCCGGAAAGACTGCATCCCAGGGAAGGCTCATCCGCTTCGGAGGCGCTGGCAGGGGGCGGATGAGAAGGATTTGTGTTTGAAGGGCAGGGATGCTTTGCAGCTCTCGAGTTCAGCAAGGATGAGGAAGCTCCAACAGAACTTTCCAGCTGGCACCAACGATCCATACCCTTTTATGGCTAACTTTGGCCTAATCCTCGCACACTGTATGTTGGTTTTTACACCGATCACAAGACACCTGCCGCAGACGATAATGCCGGACCTCAGCAGTCCCAGCGCTGCATTCGTTCGCCACGGGCCCGTCTGAGCATTAATCTGAGCATTACTGCGAGGAACGTCCTCGACCTTGCGTCTTGCGTCTCCAATTCAAAGTGGAGCGATGCACGCCGGAGCAAAACCACAAGAAATCAGCAAGAACGCAATTAAATATCTGCTGCACCCTAAAGCTTCAATGAATCTATACCCCATAGTCACATAGTACCCCCGATCCGATGCGCAGGTCGCACGAAATCGGAAGACGCCCGTTTGCTGGGGTGCATGGTCCACCATCACATGCGCGGCTCCAAGGACGACTTTATTGACAGGCCGGCGGAACCCGGCGCTCTGGGTTTATGAAATGGGGGGAATTCTGGAAGCGAGATCTTTGCAACATCTCGAAGCCAGAAGTTTCAGACTCCCTATAGTACATAACAGTCTTCAGAGTCTGCGTACACTTTCTGGACTCCCTACACAACAAGTTCTAGACGGCAAACGTTTACGCGAACTGAACCATAAACCCAGAACCAACAAGTTGAAGCCTCAGCAGGAAGACACAGGAGGAGAAGTTGGAGGGAAAGGTTCAAAGCCTGCAGAGCGTGCTGCGGTCTGTCGCCACTCTGAAGGGACAGGCGGGATTCCAGGTCTGTCAGTTCTGCACTTGTCGCTGTCCCCCGACGTGCCGCCGTGCCGTGTGCCGCCTATTTTGCAGACTGCAGTCCCCAGCAGTGCAGCGTTTCGTGTAGACAGTAGCTTTAGGCCCTTCACATTTAGCTCCGTAGTGATGGCATCCTAAGAGCGCACCAACTTATCAAGCGACACTGTGTGGAGTTCTTGGCAAGGCTTCTTACCTCGAAAGCCCACCAAATTTGGGCTTGTTCAGGTGCGGTTGTTGATCACTGGCCTTACCATCGATGGCCTGGTCCAGCTGTTGGAAGCTATCGGAACCGAGGACCTTCAAAAAATGGTTCAGAATACGAAATGCTGCAGCAATCTAATCGCTTTTGTGTTGACAGGCCCCCCTAAATCGAGACTGGCCTCTTGCATTGCGAAAGCTGAAGGCATCTTAGGTTTGAAGTCGGCTCTGTGCGGCTTTCCAGGCTGGAGGTCACCCTCAACGTCAGTTGGCAGCTGATGGTCCTATGAGTCTCATAACAGCCGCGTGATGAGCTAGGACTAGAATCTGGTAGGATGGTGCAGAAGATCCCAAGGTTCAAGTCTCAAGGGGTTCTGTGGTTTCCGAATAGCAGTGCACGTGCATCAGGAGCTGGAGTACGGAATGTTCTATCAACCTGACTCTGCTCGGCGGACTTCACCGGCCCGAAATTTTGTTTTGTGGGCGCTGCACAGTAGCTTGGCTCGATTTGACCGGTAACTCAATGCTTCGCAGCTGTCTGTGTCGGATTTTGGTCTTCTGTCCTCGAATCAGATGACCAAAGGGGCAAGAGTGAAGACCTCGGCTCTGACCTTCCTCTGCTAGAAAGGAGGGGCTTGTGACTGATGGACCAGAAGGTAAGAGGCACATCCTCAAACCCAACCAGTCAGCGTTGAAGGCTTTCCAAGTTTACAGTAGGAACTTGAGCTTCGACTCGGCTCGTTTCTAGGACAAGCTTCTGGGGTAGGTGTTGGCCCTGAGCCCAGCTTGAGGTTGTCAGACGTTCGGCTGTCGCTTTCACAGCTCGAAGCAAGCGAACCTAAGAGAGCCAGAAGCGCATCACCCTCCGAACTCTTTGCCCAGCGGCCCAGGCTGGGCCGAGGGTTGGTCCCTGCAAGACACCCAGGCCGAGGTGCGGCCTCGGAGCGTCAAAGACATTTTCTGTGCACTGAGCCTGCATGACACAAGATTTAGGGCTTTGGCCAGCCAAGCCCTGCACCGCAAACATTTGATGAGGTCGACGAATTGGGCCTGGCAGTAAAACTGTTCCAGGGCCAGCGTAGCATCAGACTATACATGATTCTGTGCGTAACCCAAAAGCGAAGCTCCGAAGCGAGTCATACCACATCTTTGGTTTAGGCGATCTATTTTAGGGGTCGCTCTGGCAGCCCAAAATCACCCAACACATGGGCCAAAGACACTCGTCAATGAGCCTGAAGCTAGATTCTATGGAACACAAGCAGAATCCTAAGCCCTCCACCCGCTGTCGGCTGGTCAGCTTTCTGGAGTGGAGGGACCTTGCCCTGGATCAAGGTGCAGGTACCCAAATACAGGACCTCTGAGCAAGAAGTGGAGATCCACAATCGCTTTGCGGTGCTGGGGGAGGCATGCCAGGGTTGTTGGAATGTAGAGACTGCAGGTCCAATGATCTAAACTGAACTCTTCTGACTGTCACGCTGAAGTTCGGGAATATCAGTCTGTTGGGGCTTCTGGTTTCACTCTCTGCTTGAAGGTGCCTGTGAGGGTTTCACAATTCCGGCTTGGCAAGGCTTCTCTGTAGTGTAATCTGTAAGTGTAATAAGGGTTCGAAACTCAGCAGCTTCCGGCATGCTTCAAAGGCTATTGTGCACACGGCACTGGAACAGAATGCTCTGACTGGGTTGCATTCCGCTGTTTGATGCCCAATCTTACAGACTCTGGGGTTCGTTCGGATTGTCTCTGCGGTTCTTCTGTCCTGCTGGCAATAACGAATCTGAGGTTAGTAGTGGAGGTGTCATGCCGGGGAGGGAGTCATGCTTGGTTTCGGATATCAGGTTTATCGCTTAGCGCTTCAAATGCCGGATCTCCAAGACTGATATTGTCTTCTGAAGTCTCCGCAGCTCTTGAGAGTGTGCTCTGGCCTTTGGCTCCGTCCCCACTCTGATGTATGAGTTGTTTCCTTCATGTCTGAGAGGAAGTCGTCTCCGATTTGGAAGTGCTCGTTTGTAAGCACATTTGTCAATGCAGCAGCACCTCACCGAGCGGATTGCTGCGTCTTGGTTTTCTTACAATGTCAGAGCTGAAACAGTTCACTGGAGCCTAACTCTTGATGCAATTTCCTGCTGGTATTAGTTGCTGCCGAAGAAGTAACGTTTGTGGGCCGCTTGTGAGGACCTGCAAACCGCAGACTGGGCGCGCCCGCTGGACGACGTCGACAGATTGATTGGCCGTTCTCCAGCGATGCCTCCCGGCTGGAACAAGAGCACAGTAAAGCTATTCTGGAGTACAGTGTCTCCTGAAACATGAACTCAACCGATATGTGGAACCACGTGCATCGCCATCTGTAATACCGGCCACTTAAGGCAATCTGCATTACAAATGTAGCAGGTGGTTGTGTTAAGCCACGTGACGTGCAGTATTCCGAGCATTTTTTGTGAGCGGCGCCCAACTTAGCCCCAAATACTGAGAAACACGTCACCGCCATACGCACACCGTGGCACAAGGGTCACATCCGGCTCTTGGTGGGGGCAGTCCGACTCCGAAGACGAGGAGTTGATTTTGGGGGGTTGCAGCCAGGGGCACAAACCGCCTGATGTAGTTATTATCATCCCACTTGACTTACCATCAGGCCCACAACGAGATCTTACTGATGTGCCGTGGCATTCCATGTCCAGGGCTCACACAACTTTTCTGCCCGGTTCTGACTATGTCGGCCAGCATTGCATGCACTTGGGTCGTATCTTTCTGCACTCTCGGGTTTGTTGTGCAGGAGGACGACGACTTGGATGACGAGGAAGTTGAAGCTGTCTTGGACGACCGCATCGAGCAAGGACCGTGCTCCGAACGTGCCATGGTCTAGTGCGGATCCTCAATTCCAGAGATTCCAGACGACCCAGCATCGAAAATGTAGGACCGACCAGAGGTACGAACGCAATGGCGTTGTTGAATTTCCGTGTGTGTGTGTGTGTGTGTTTATATTTGCTGGCTTGCTTGCGCGTTCGTTGGTTCCCGTTCAGCAGCACTCCCGCCCTCATGTCGAGAAGCTACAACTCACAGGCTGCAACCTCAGAAGTCTCAAGATTACACCCTCCAGCGCAATCCCTGCAAAACGGTTCAAGCAACCAAAATGCCCGCAAAATGAGATACTCCAGGAACGAGCCGGCGGCAGAGGGCTCACAGGGCACAGGCCGTAACGATGAGCACCGATGCCGAGGCAGGTTCTCGAGGAACCCCGGTTCGTAGAGGCGTATGGCTCCTGGTTTATTCTTGGGCTTAGCAGAAGAACTCTTTGGACAACAATGGCAACACCTGCACAGCAGATCAGAACTTCAGATTTCGTTGCTCCCAGGGTGCGGCAGGGGCCTCCCAAACGGTTGAGCGGTCCGAAGCCGTGTCTGCGAGTCCGAGGCTGCGCTGGCAGCTTGGGGCTCTGCGTATCATCAGGCAGAGGCAAACGCCTCGGGGGTCTCAAACTGCCTGAGGTGAAAAAACGCAGCATCCCGGGACTTTGGGTGGAGCTTGGCCTGCCGCTGTCCAGAGTGCTAGCTGATTACCACATGGGGTGCAAGTGCGGTTCGAGCTTGTGGCTCATGGCTTCTTGATGGTGTTATTCGCAATGATGCAATGAAGCAGACTTCCGTGGTGAAGCGGTGCCGTGCACCTTCCAGCTCTCTACGCCCAGTAGCTCACCATGCCAACCCAACAGCACACTTTGCAGAGCTTCAGGGTGCAGAAGGTCAGTTTAAGAGCTAAAGACGGGAGAGTTCGCCACTAAAACTGCGCGGTCCCAGTGCTCCTTCATGCAGTGCACATGATACGTACATATATTACACGACCCTGCACATGTAGGCCAATGTTCCAGTCGTACGGCAGGCCTTCGAAAGGAGGGTGCAGGAGTGCCAGCGTGGACTGGAACAGGTGGAGGAGGACGTAGAGGAGGAGGCAGAGGAGGGCCAGTGGACAGAGGCCGAGACGAACAGGCCCAACATGAATCCAGGGTTGCATGGTTTGGGCATTTCGTGATTAGGAGGCTCTTGGGACCATGTCTTCATGCAAGAGGTGATGTTGTATGGCTTCGGCAGAGGCGAGCACTTACAGTAGTTTGATTGTCACTTCCGACATCGGCACCCAGCTTCCTCAGCTTTGCTTCTTCACATCTGACCCGGACTCCAGTGGCGTTTCGGGAGGCTAGGATGTGAGGGTATGAAGCATACTCGAGGAGAGCCCTTTGGTAATGATTCAGTTTCGAGGAGAGTCATCTTAAACAGAAGTCCCGTTGGAGAACAGGCGGAGCAATTCAAACGACATGTTCGTCATAGACCTGCCCGTATCCCACGAGCCCGGACCTAGTTCTGAACTGCAAAGCTCACGCTTCAACACCACTAGTTTCTGTACAGTTATGCCACATGTCTCGACTGGGAATGCTTGCCGGTTCGCACGTTGGCGGGTCGGGCCGCGCCAGAAAGTATCAGAACTCCCCACTGGACTTTACTGCTCTAGATGCAGTCACGAGGCATCACAGGGCACGAAGCCTCTGCAATCAAACCTGAATCCTGGAGCCTCAAACTCGAAATTGAAGCTACGCCGGTGAATCACCCCCAAAGTTTTCTCTCTGGGAGGGAAAAGAAGCGAAGAAGCAATCCATTTGAACGGCAGCTCAAGCAGCTCAAGGCAGCCTTGGGCCTGTGGCATTAGAGAAATGTCAGGTGTGGTAGCAGTGCTTGGCAGACATGTGCGCAGTCTGTTGGGATCTTGGCATCTGAGAGATGTTGACCTACGTGACCCGCGACCCTGCAGGCAGAGTCGCCTCAGATCCGATCGCGGTGGCAACGGGCACCCTGTCATGTCCCAGAGATTCAGCTTCATGTATCCATTGTGCCCGAGGCCCCCGAGCATGTGTTATGCACAAACCACGACACCGAATCAGGAATCTGAAGATATCAGACACGAGGACCCGTCACGACTACAAGACACGAGCACGCAGCCCGACATCATCAAACTAAGGCACGCCAGCAGAAGTTTCATCATCAGACAAGAAGTGGGCACTAGCCGCACTAGCCAAGGTGATACAAAGCCGTGCAGACACAGCACAAGGTTCGATGGACATGAGACCTGACACGACACATGACTCCAGAAACGAGACCACGGCACTAGCACGAGGCACGAGGACACGACAGGAAGCGCGATGCGAGAGTGACGAGCAATGGCAAGAAGACCCGACACGGGGACGAAAGGACCCTGTTGACACCGCAACTGCGAAACGCCCGTGTGGTTTCAAAACAACAGAAAGTGTCACCAGAGCGCTGACAGAGATCACCTCAAGAACAATTGAACACCGTTCGACTTCGAGCCCCCAGACCCTGAACCGAACCGCACAGGAGGTCAAGCCATTTCAAGCCCTAGCCGCAGCCTACTCGTACCAAAGACCCCATAAGCCCACGAGGTTTCGACATGCATGTGCTGAACGTCTGTCTGTCTCAGGCAAAGCAGGATGCACGACGAGCTCAGATTCGTAGTGTGCACAAGGACATGGCATGGGGTGCAAAGGCGTTGGGTTCGGAATTGTTGCGTGTGCAGCAAGGCCCAGCAGATCAGCCCTGTCCGCCGTCTAGGGGCAAAATCCGACCCTTATCTCGCAAGCGTGTTCCTGTAGACATCCACGTGGGCGGACACATCTCTCTGCAACAGCCCGTCCTGACAAAGCTGACGGGAGCCAACGGTGATGTTAAAGAACTGAGACGACTGCCACACATTCAGCGATGCTGCCCAACGATTGCAGGACATCCGAGCTGGCTTGGAAACATTGCTTGGCAAAGCCTGTGTCGCCTGTCCTGCATGTTGGAACTTCCCATGCTTCCGGCTTCCACGTCTGATAGTCTCAGTGGTTGCTCGTTAATGCAATGGGTCTCTCGAAGGTCCGTTCACGTTCTGGCTAGGGGTTATTGTACGAGACTAGCTGACCTACTCCCGAACACCGATCGTGCCCGTCGTGATGCCTGTTCCCAGGCCCCGCTCTTTGGCCTGGTTCGGGCGAGCTCAGTTAGCTGGGTCTTCAGGTCTAAACATCCTCAGAACCGTATTGTTCAGCGACTCGAAGCTTGGATTGTCCAAGTTGTAGAAGCAGTTTTGCGGCTTCTGTTCCTTGCTTGTCACACAAGTCGTCCGTGTCCAAACTGTACTCGTTGACCTTCCTTGGTGCAGTTGCAGTGTTGCACGTTTTCGCCACTGTCAATGAAACCGGGAAGATGCATGATGGAGGGTCCGAAGCCGAGGTTCCGACGCTCTGAAAACTAGTGTTAGAGAGACATGGAGTTAGAATTGAGGTACGGGACCTCAAGCAGGAGATTCCGGAAAGAACGACCTGGAACCAATCTGCGAAGCGGCGATCCGAGACATTGAAGGCCAGAGCACCAAACATGACGAGCCTTTGCGCAGAGCCCAAGCAGATGCAAAGTTAATCTTCAGTGCTGCTCCTATCCAGAAGATGTGTTGCAGCATTGTAGCAGATCTATGGTGGGCTTGTGAAATCTGGCTGCAAGCTCAGCACTTGCTTCTAGGCCCTTGTCGGGGTGGCAGCGGAAGCAGCAAGCTCTGTGCTTCAGAATGCAAGCTATGCTTGGATTGCTCACGGGTTTACGCATTTTTGCACATCCCTCACCACGTCAACAGGCATAAATACATCGCTAAACTCGCCGAAATGCTAGCCATCTTCGATGTTCAGTCTGTCTTTGAAAGGGATCTTCGATGTTCAGCCTGTCTTTGAAAGGGGACTTACCATGATTGTAAACGCTTGGCGTCGTCCGCCTCGGCCTGGTCGCAGGTGCAGGGCCCAACAAGACACCGAGTAGGGGGTCGGGGTGAGGGGGAACGGCGGGCGGAGTGGGCGGGAATCGTGGTTGACATCGACGAAATTTCTTCTTGAGCATGTGAAGGACCAGGCCAGTCAGAATCTCTGGTGGTGGGGGCTTGGAAAGCAACTTTGGGGGGGGGTCAATGACCACTTGAGCTCTGTGGGTGACTGGGATGGGGGAAGGAGGAGAAAGAGGGAACCTCATGACTGCTTGGGCCGGGGGCCGAGGCGAATAGTACCTATGTCTACATGTCTTGAATCATCGATTTCTATTTTTAAGTGTCATGCCGGTGGTGTTTCATTGTCACTGCTCAGCAATGCCACTCGAAGCCTGGGACCGTTTTGCAAACTATCATTAGTGAGCATGCCTGCTTACCCAGGCTCCCTTGTCTTCTTAGATGTAGGTGATAATTATCGCCGGCGTTTACTAGCGATGGGACTTTAGGATGTTCTAGAATGCATACAGAAATTATGTATTAGGTCACATGCATGGACACCCGCATCCCAGTTGTGATGCAGCAGATGACTAGATGGGAGGCAGTCATGACTAGACAAGAACCTAGCCAGGGGCCAGCCACAATGCTGTATTCTGTCTCATAGCCTTTTTGACGTCTGTGTGGCTGCTGAGTGTAGGATGCCCATAGTTTGCGAGAATGTTTCCTGACCTTCTCGTGAATCGGTTCAGGCTCCGATATGGTTTACGACATGTGCCCCTATGTCATCGCATTCATCTCAGCATGTACATCCCGAACCTCGAATCTCCTGCACGACCATCCAGAGTCCGCCAAGGTGTTTCAGGAAGGCTTCCAAGAGGCTGGAACCCACCTGGAGTGTCACCAGACTTGGGTTCGTCTCAAGCAGCTGTTGTGCAGTGAGGGTTGAAGGTGACAGTCAAGCTCCTCTTCAAGAACGGAAAACGTAAGACAGCTGAAATGCTGTCCGGATAGCAGGTCTACAACATTCGAAAACTAGAATAACTACAGGTCGCAGAGTTTCTGGCATCAGGTCAAGCCGATGTGCTAGAGCTGCCAGAGTCGATGCGTTTCCAAATTTTCACAACCCTGCTGTAAGCTGCAGGTTTCAGGCTTTCAAGACTTGCAGCGTTTTCGAGTGCCTGTAACGCCATCTTCAGGCCCAGGAAATCGGCACCCACCTCGCACAGCTCAAGAAGCGTGCGCAGCTCCAGGCATGCAAGGACATCCGGGGAACATGAGTCGAGGGCCAAAGATCTTTGCCTCAGGCTCTATGTTGCGTGCTTTTTGAATTTTTCATCCCGCTCACCTCCGTGGACAAGCCGCTGTTTGAGCCGCGCAGCCCTGCGACGTAGTCTTTTTGCAGATCCCGGTCTTCCTTGAGAAACAGGGCATGTCCGGAATCTTCCTCGGCTGATGTCATGGAGCCTATGTGGTCTCGGGCCATGCTTCAGGAGGCTGCTGTCGTGGGGATGACTTCCACCTTCGCAGCGCTAAATGCAGATTTGTTGAGGCACGTCCAGGAGACACGACGATGTCTGAAGGTGTGGCGAGGTTTCAGGTAGGCTGGAGTCACCAAAGCGTCTTCGAAAGGTCACGTTCGAGGTGCAATTATAAAGTACCCTTAATGGGTTGTCTATGCTCAACCATAAACCTGGAAAGCCGGACGAAAAACTGCTCTGGCAATCCTGATCCTGCCCCCATGCGTCAAAGACGTCAAGATGCACAGACGAAAACGGCTAAAAGCAACTGTATGCCTCGAAGGTTGATGAAGGATGCAGTGGCGTCGGTGAAAAATCCTTCCAACAAATCCGGTATGGTATGCAGGCGACCTTTCTTGAGCACCCGAAAAAAGCGACCCCGAATGATAGCACTGGAAGGCGCATGGGCTCGCGTGCTGTGGCCTCGGATTCCGGAGTCATGCGCTGATTCTTGTTTGAGTGTGTAGGGCCCAGCTTCTAGGAGATTGATGCTTTGAGGAGTAGAGCCTGCTCGTCCGAATGTTTGCGTCGTCGCAAGGGAGTCAGGAAGTGTAGACGGGGAGAGCTCCAAGACCTTTTCCCACGCAGGAATCGTAGAATTGCAGACAAAGCTCATTTCCCAAATCCGGAATCCCGAGACCGGGCCCCAAACTGCGAAAAATGCTGGCGGTAGCCGAAGTGCTATATGGCCCAGCCTTCTGATGTTGTAGTGGTGAGTTGGAGTCGAACCGTGGCAGACATAGCCCTAAACCCATACAGTCTCAAAAACCCAAGCCCTACAAACCCTAAATGCACGAAGCCAGTTGAATGCCACATGATTTTAGGGCTGCCCAGGTCGTTGTTGTGGAGGAGGCCGGCGAGCTACTGGAGTGCCAGCTGCTTGCCGCAGACCTTAGGACTTGAGGTTCACGGGCTTTTAGGATTTAGGCTTGCGGGGTTCAAGGGCTTAAGGGTGTAAAGATTCGGAAGGTCAGGGCTTAGGCTTATGCACTAAGACTAAGCTTTCATCGGACTGTTGGGGCTGCAGGGTTGAGAAAGTGTCACGTGGCTGCAGATGTCGGGTTATATCTTGATCTCAAGGTCCAGACTTTGATTTGTGTCTCCATTGCTCCAAAGACTGGTGCATCCTTTGTGTCCCTTAGCCTCCAGAACACCACCACAGCTGTAAGGTTGATTGATATTTACGGGGTGTAGACGAAAACAAGCTGCGACACAGACAGCCGGACACTCTCTGACACTCACACACGTCCGAACCTCCACCACCGCACCTTTCTGGGTGCACATGTGAGTGCCTGAATGTGTGTTTTGTCTTTGTGCAGATTGCAGCTTGCTCACTTCTCGGGTCGGAGCCCTCGGAAGAACCGAAAGATGTCAAAGCGGCCATGCTCCATGTCTTTCGAGATTGAACTCAACACCTGTGAAGTTCCCCTAGTGCCCAACGATTCCAAGGTTGATGGCTTGTCTCTCCTCCGAGAACTTGCAGCAGGCCTACTGCACGCTGCGCTGCAAAACGCCGAGCAAGAAATCTAAATTGGCCCCATGTTATCGTGCGGACTGTGTTCTGCTGGTTCGAGAAGGTTCCGATTGGGAAGCTTGTAGCCTGTATGCTCACAGCTATACCAGGCCGCAGCTACACACGGGCTGAGACAGCCAGTTTCACACAAACCGAAAGCGGGACCGAAAGGTTGATTGCAAGGTCGTGGGGCTTTTTGCATGGGGACGGAAAAACCGGACTTGAGGTGCGGACTCTGATACGGCCTGCAGATCATCACTTTCGGACACTGATTTTGCAGTCAGGTGGTGCTCATTGGCGATCATCAGCAACTGCGTCCCAAAGTCAACACCTTCGATTCTGGGACAGCAAGTTGCGACCTTGAAGCATTCCGCTTACAATCCCTTCCTGCACAGCTGGAAAGGAACTCCACCTGTGCACTGTGGACAAACCACGAGCTAACAGCACGTTCCACCCGAAGGCTTCAGACGTCACCAAACACCAAACTCGGAATCGGATGCTGCTTGGTGTGTCGTGATTAGCTGGGATCTCAGTTTCTTCGGGCTTTGCCGCCCGCACTTGCAAGCCCCCGTCCATGCTTGACCTGTTGGGAGTGGTAGCTCTGTGGGCAACAGTTTTCGAGGAATCTCATGCAACGAAACGCTTCACACGCTTGAAGCCTTTAAGACATTGGCCAAACAGTTAAAACGTCTTGGCCCGTGGCTTCAGGATCTAGCTACTTGGATTCTGCGTAGGATGCACACCTCACGAGCCATAATTTAAGCTCCTGGCCACTCTAGAGATTTTAGGGCCAGCGCTGGGGAAAGAGTCTGCCGGTATCCTGATATTGAGACTGTGGGGTTTCGGGTTAGTGTGAAAATAGGTGAAGCGTATGAGCGTTCGGCTTGAGAGTTTGGAATCGGAGGGAGTTGGTATTTCGGCCAATCTCTTAGTGAGCTGGAGTTCCTTTGTTTGGGATGTTCCGTTTTTGGGGGAGCTAAACTCTGATGCTTGCAGCCAGGATCTTTGTCGGAAGCACAAGTTTGATCTTTCGCTCTTCGAGCGCTTGGTCGTCTCCGGCTGCGACCGGGCCAAGCTGGTAACGCAGCTGAGGCGGCTACTTCGTTAATGCTACCAGTTATAATATAGATTATGGCGATGCTTACGAGTCCTATTGCTAGTGCTTTTCTCGCCCTCTTGCCCCGGACCCCAAGCCCAGTCCCCAAGGCCGAACCTCGTGGCCTGTCGCTTCCTCCGATTTGATGCTTTCAGCAGTTGGGTCATCTGGAATGCCACCAAGTTGTGAACTGTTCGAAAGTCTGGCGGGTTTTGTAATTTGCAGCTAGCTGCCAAGACGAGGGCTGAGCGATTTAGAGCTGTACGAACGGGACTGGCCGCGAAGCCTAACAACAGAATACTGTAGGTTGAGGTCATAACCATCCCTGCTCACTGGTTACAGGATGCATCCCGACGTCTCTGATCTCGTTCGGCCATTCTACGACAGGCCTCGCATGAGTTGCATGTGGTTTTTAGCGCGGACTCAGCTGCTGCGAGGCGTCGGGTCTCAGGTTCATGATGCTCTGATGCTTCATGTCCTCAGACTACCCCTTCCCTCCCGCAGTCCTGGACCTTGCAGGAGGTTGATGCAGGGGTGGTTCTAAGCCTCGAAATGGGTTCTCTGTTGGGTTCGTAGAGGTGTCCATGTTCGACAAACCACATCTCTGCCATGGGAACTGGTAGAGAGTCGAGAATTTTCACGGGAACATAAAACGGAGTCGATATGAATTTGCAGTGATGGCCATGGAGCTTTCTGTGAAAGCCTTGTTCACTTCTAGGAAACCACCAAGACTTCCGCCAAGATTTCGCTGATTGTGGTTGAAGTCACGTCGTGATCATGGTCCGGCTCGTTCGTCGTTCTCGCTGACGCGCCCTTCCTCGCAGGATTGAGGATCATGCGCGGGTGATGAACTACCCCATGATCCCGGGAGTTGCAGACAGGCTGTACTGGCTCAGCCATTCTCACCAAGAAACATGCCTGAAGCGGTGGCGGAGTTACTTTTGTGGGATTGACGGCGAGGGAGCCGAGCTGGATTTGAAAGTCCATTGTGTCGGATGTCCTGTTCCCAGATCCACACGAACAGCACTCTCAGCTCCCATCAACCCCTGCAAACTTCGAGTCGCTCCGAGGGAGCGAAGTAGAGCTTGCAGTTCTTGCCCCAAGGAGCCTAAGCATTGTAATCCGGGTTTACCGATCCCAACTGCGCTCTTAACGATCGACTCCCTGTTTAGCAGTCTTACGCTGGCCTTTGATGTGAACGAACCCAAAAGTCTCACTCCAACGGCTCGATATCTACAGGCCGGATGAGGAGCAGCTACAGAGATGGCTTCATTCATAACCCCCCTGGGCTCCCATGACAAGCGGACTCGAACTTTCTGCATTCTTGCATCTTACCTCTAGACATTGCAACTGTACTAACTGTGCCCTTCGACTTTGTTTCGTGTTGCTCAGGAGGACAGCTGGGGCCAGACGCAGCAGCATGGATGCATGTGCGGCTGAGAGCTTCGGGGTGAGAAGGATCAGGATTGGGGTTTGGAGCACGGTCTTCGGCCAGAAAGCGCTGCAAGAGTCTATGTGCAGGGAGTGGCCTGGGTTTTCTGCCTCAGGGCTCTGCGATGGATTTGGGCCGTCCTGCTGAAGACGTTCTTACACGACCATGGTTTAACGATGTTCGCAGCGCATCGCTTACACGACGCACGAAACCTGAAAGGCTTTCTGTAGACAAAGTAAACGAAATGAAGAAACTCTGACGCTCCATGCCGTATGCTACCCCTACTGCGAGCAGGAGGTGCTCCAGTAGTTTGACATTCCCAGGCTAACAATGGCAACCCGATTCCTCCTATCGTCCGACATTCCGAGGATGCTCAGCAAAGTCAACAGCCACGAGGCAAAGCTGGCAGTTCGCCTTGCGCAGCATTTGGTGTACAACGGCAGCTCGCACAAAGAGCCGGGAAGATGTCATTTCTTCAAGAAGCGGCAACACTGGCTTGTGCCTGGAGTCTGGAGGTCATGAAAATTCAACCCAGGCCTTGACAATTACCAAAAGTCCTGAACACCATATTATGGAGGCATTTACAACTAGAATAGGATTTTAGTGTATCTTATGCTTACACCATTCTATTAGAGGGATTATGAGGAAATACTACTGATAGTTAGACCGGCCTCCTATGTTAGCACAAGTTCTGTCAGCATGTGATGATAGCCTGGCAAACCCCAGACCTGCCATAGCCAAGGAATCGACAAGGGTCGCATCACGCTTTTGACCCCGTACCTCGGACAGAAGCGACACCAAGCAGCAGAAGGCTTCATCTTGTCCGAGTATGGGACTGCTGTTGAAGCTTAGATGTTTGCGATCAGGCCTGCAGTGAGCCGGACTCAAAAGCCCGGCATCCTTGCCGCGGCGTGCTTTCGGGGAAAAGCGGAGAGACAGAGGGAGGGAGAAAGAGTTCGTGTCTAAAGATGACCTAAACTGAGACGTCTGTGGGGGCCAGCTCAGGAGAGATCAAGAAGCTGCTGCCCCGTGAACTCATGAGTTCGTATGCGCCCCGGGCAGCACATTATGCATGACGAGGCTGTTTTGACCGTGGCTGCTGAGTTGTGTTTGGGGCTACTACAAGGGTCAACGCGTCCTTGCCCTGCCAAGACAGCGAAGTCATCGAATTCAGCCCCAGACAGATCCCCTGTCCAAGCCTGTCAAAAACTCACGAATCGCTATGTGGGTTCCTAGCTGCCGGAACATGACCCTTCACGGTGCCTGAATTTCGTGAGATTCGAAGACACTTTCCAACAATCAGTCAGACCTTGTGACCCACTAGCTTTTCCCGGAAATTTCCCAAGCGAAGCTACCAGCAGCTACCAGCCGGCAGCGCTTGAGCTTGTACTTCATGGCAAGGTCAGTGCCGGTGGCGATGTGCAAGAGGAGCAGCCCAAAGGCAAGGGCAAGAAGGGCAAAGACAAGGGCAAGGAGCGACATGTGCGAACTCTCGCATTTCCTGTAATCGTAAAGGTTTTTTATTGTGCAGGTTTCGGGTGGGTAGCCCTACACCGTCGACACCTCCTACATGCTGTCGCAAAATTCCCATATTCATTACCCCCATTGCTGTTGCAGACCGAGGGTGGGGTGTTTGTTTATGTCGTGTGCCCTAATACACATATACATATGCAAACACAGCGTTTTCACATACATACAACAAGTATTCGTGTAAGTACGTGCTTCTGTCGAATGGGACACGATTTGTTGTGGCTGGAGTCGTTCGTGGTAGTGCTGCTGCTGGTTTCCGGTGGCGACGGCGTTCATGACGATATTGGTGGTGGTGACCGTTGCCGTCGTCGGACGAATCGGATTGCCAAAGACTGGGGCAACTGCTGCGCATGGAAAGCAAAGCGTTTTGGACGCGTCGGGTCCATCTTGGGTGCGAAGACACCAGAACTTGCAACCGGAGTCCTAAAGGATCATGCAAAGACACAGCCACTGCAATGCTTATTCCAAGCTCTTGTCGCTTCAAGGACTGAACATGGGGAGAAAGAACTGCAAGCGGAATAGCCCCAACAAGCACTTGACATGCCTGGCCAGGACAAGGGGAAGGGAAAGGGCAAGGGAAAGGGCAAGGAAGGCAAAGGCAAAGCTGATGGAAGCTCTCGGATGATTCCGGGCGTGCGGATCGTCACCATTGACGACTACCAGGGTGAAGAGAACGACATCATCATCCTATCCTTGGTCCGAAGCAGCTCAGATTGCAGCATAAGCCGGCAAGCAAGAAGCATGTCTCCGGAGGCGATAGCAATGTATGTTGCAGCTTATTCAGAGTGTAAGCTTCTTGCATTATCTTTTGAAAAACCGCGCCAGGCAACCCCAAAAACATCCTCGGCTTCTGTTCCATCGAGAATCGCCTGATCGTTGCTCTGTCCCGAGCCCGGCATGGCATGTATGTCTTGGGCGACTGGTCCAACTTCGAGAAGGCCGGATGTGGCAACATGCATACATACATATGCACACACGCACACGCGTGGCACTCACGTTTCTTTTGGTCATCGTGTTCATCCCATGTAATAAAGCAGGCCCGTTTGCAACATGTAGCTATAATATTATACCTGCCTGCATATGCAGGTGGTTGTACGCATGTGCGGATATGTGTTTCCTAGGTCCTGGGTTTGTATGGAAGGCTTGTTTTGTATTGAGTTGCTCCGCTATGCTTTCGTTAGCTGCGGTCTGATCTGGTCTGTCACTTGTGTGCGCACACATGACTATGCCAGTGTGGGTTTCTGCCTTTGAGAAGGGGAGTGGATATGTGTGCGTGTGTGCTTTCGTTCGTGCCCAGAGGTAGGAGTACATGAACGGATGCAGGTGAAGATACTCACAGAATGAGTGTGTGAATGAAAGTTGAACTTTGAGGCTTGGCCTTACGAGCAGGGATGCTGGGGCAATCGTCTTGTTGCATCCAAACGTGCGCCAGTATCTCCTTGACCCATCACGCCAGGACGACAAGTGGTTCCAAGTCATCAGCAAGCTGGAGGACAGACACCGCATTGGCAGCTCGCTCAACCTCCGTTGTGCCAAACACCCCAGCGATGATGGTATGGTGCAGACAGCAGAAGATTTTGATCGCAAAGCACTCCATGGTGGATGCCAACGAGATTGCGACACATTGCTGCCCAGATGCGGGCATCGCTGCCACCTAAAATGCCACCCCTTCGATCCCGAGCACAAGGACGGACTCAGAGCTTCGAAGCAGCCATGCAGCGTTCAGCTTCCATCTCTCCCTGCAAGGATGTCGTGTGCAACAACTTTTGCAGCAGGCCGTGATGTCCGTGATGTCTTGAGCATCCTTGCCCCTGACGACACCTCAACCCTAGCTCCCACAACGCTCTCTCCTGAAGTACCCTCAAAGCAGACCGGCTTTTGTTTTGGGGGTTCAGGACACCAGGTTGTTGGACTTGGTGCTTACCATCCAACCTGACAGGAAATCCGTATCATGACGGCTCGAATAAAGGGGGCGAGAGCGAGTGTGAGGGACGCAGGGAGTTCAATCAATGGAGAGCAACTGTCCGCACCCGAGTAGTTCTGGAATCTTCAACTGCACAGTCCCAGGTCCTACCTATCTAGGTGGCACTTTGGGAAACTTTAAAATTTTCTTTATGGTTCCTATATAGAGGTACCTATTCATAAAGACTGTTCAGGGCCCCAAAACTACAACCCAGTTATTCTTTTTGAATCCAAAAGTTTCGACCCCCTTTGGACTTGTAGATTCGGGAATTCATCACAAGCTTATTGAAACCAGACTCTTGCTTACAGGCTGCCCTTGCTCGTACCGAAAGATACAACTGTTCGCTGCAACGCCGTGGATGGACAAGGTCTTAAGTTTCTTGACCAATGCAGAATAGTCTGTTGCCCGACTTGCTAGTATTTCCGAGATACTACTGTATGCACTCACACATAAGGGAGCAATTGCAAAGCCAATCAAGAGTCTCGCGGTTTCAATGGCTGCCATTGTTTCGTGTTCGTTTGGCTGTGCAAGACTTTGTCCATGCATCGTCACATCGGGAAGGAAGACTGCTTCGGAGCCCTACTCTGGTTCAAGTTGCTACATGCGATTGGTGCTCGGAGGCTCGAGAACACAAGGCTCATATGGTGCCATGAACCGCACATAAGATAGAGGCCTTGGGATCTGAGTTGAGGGCGTGCCACTTCAACCTCCGCTGGCTTCGCTTCTTCACTTATGTAAGACCTTGGGCACAGGGATTGTAAGCCTTGTGTTGAGTGGCAGGCCGCGCCCTCCGGGCTGCACCCACGAATGCAAGAGGCTTTGCAAGCTCCTGGGCTGCAGCTGCGCAGAATATGAGTTTAGAAACCGTTAGTGAGCACAGGCCAGGCCTTGGGCACATTTGGCGCCGAGGCCTTCGTTGTGGGATGGGCGAAAGCTCACTTGATGCTTACATCGTTTGACAGGTAAATTCCCGAAGCCACAGAGACACACGCACAGAGAGGGAAACTCCCGCCGTGCAGAGCCTTTGACAGACTTGACGGCCTCACCCTTGTGTTCCGTTGCATGAGGATGTCGAACAAGCACCTGAAAATCTGGCGAAGTGCTGACGGGCCTTATGTAGGGCTCTGGGCTCTTCAGGAATCCAATGTCCGGCAGAAAGGGCCCCTCCTACAAAGCTTAGGAATAGCCTTGATTGGGGGTTTGTGGATTTCCTGGATCTTAAGTCCTGTCTCGTGATCTCAGCAGGTGCAATGCTGCAAACGCTAGCATAGGTTCCCATTCCCGGTGGGCACATAGAAGATTTGCGCAAAATGCGGGATCAGCGACTTGAAATTGTTGTGGGATCTTCGTTAAGTGTAGCCGAGTTTACGAGAGATGCCAAAGGTACACCTGGTGAGTTCAAGGCATTCTCGTTGACTTGAGGAACTGTCCCGGCGAGCGCCCGGAAGATCTGTGCCCAAGCGACTCAACTGAGCATAGTTGAAAGTTAGAAGGTTCCCCCCCCCCATTTGGGACAGTTGTTCGGCCAGCCACACCGGCACTGGCCTCTAAATGTACATGGTTTCGGGAATAGGGAGGACTTAACGAACTAAGGGATGGGAGTCCAAAGGCTCTGCCCCTCAGACACAGACTGACTGGAACTGCTTTTCTCTCATACCTGAGTGGCTGTTCATCTCGCAGCGCTGCTCGGTTGCCTATAGCAGTGCAAAGATTACCTTTGAATGAAGGGCTTTACGATGTACGGGTTTGTGGGCACCTCTGGCTTCATGTGTGACATGGTCAAGCGAGTCGTCGAGCTGTGAACACAACAGTGTGCAAGGGAAGCAACACGGTCCAGAGTGCAAGACTTTCAAAAATGCACCCAGAAAGGAAGAGCTCTTCATCCCGAGTTGATATGTCGTATGAGAGGGAAGAGCTTACACTTCCAGCACCTGCTGCATACCTCTTTCAGAGTGAACTAGGCTGCACTAAAGACTCCTTCAAGCTCAGGCAAGTGCCAAGAGTGGGTCGAAGCCAAGCTGCCGTGTGGACATAGTCAGTGGGAACACTGCCATCAGGCCTTGGCTGGGGTCCCCTTCCTTTCAGAAAGTGAGGATCGTGAGAACGCCCTTAGCAGCAACACGGTTGAAGCCTGCCGACCTGCCAGAATCGACAGCAAGATGCTGGGGATAGCCTGCCTTTGCTTGCTGTCTTCTAGAAGCGCAGCAGGCTGAGAACTTTTCCGCAGGTTACGCGTGACGCGGTAGAAGTATTAAGTGCAGTCACAGCTAGTCAACCTCTGGGACGCTCAACCTCTTGATTCTGACTCTATGCGCCGGCAAAGACCTTACGTGCGGTAAACCCAGATGCGAGAAGATGCAGCGCCGAGTTTCCAAAGGTATTCGGATTTGGGGTGGGTTGGAAACTTGCAGGCTTCTGGATTCCCTTGAGACCTCGCCATTTTGGCAGGTTCAAACGCCAGAGCTACGGGCGGAGGTCTTCTGCAGGAAGGGTTCCACTCCTGTTTCGCACTTGGGGTCTTCACTGTTAGCAATTGTTCCTAAAAGGTACGAATGATTTCAATTCCGGGTAGGAGCATCTGCATTAAAGGCAGCAGAGCTTTGGAACTTGAGACGGAGCATGAGGTTGCCCATCATCCACTTTCGCAGATCCGACGACCTACGTCAACAGTACTGCCGTACTGCCACATGTACACACATGAGGCGCTTGGTAGTTAACCAATTAGTTGTAAAGGCTTCGCGTCGTCTGCCTCGGCCCGACCGCAATTGAAGAGGGCCTGGAATTCAATCAAGAAGCCGTCACGAGGAGCAGGCTGTTACAACCGACCTGAGCGGGGCGTGAATCGGTCCAAAGACAGGAGGAGGGGGGGGGGGTTGTCACGTGGGCCAGCATTAGGGGGCTTGGGCCGTGGGGGAGGGGATTAAGAGGATGGGAAACCGGTGATTTTTGTTGGGACCTCTGACCGGTTCGGCTGGAGCCGAGGCGAATGACTTGCATGACTTGACTTAGCATAGATGAGTGGCATGCTTTCCTCGCTATCCTGTAATAGGTATGTCCATTGCCAGTAGCCTCATCATCCGAGCACTTGTGCTTCAAGCACCGAGGTCACACCCCGAATTTTAGGTTCTAAGCCGTCTATAGCAAGCGCTTCATTGATCAACCTCCATCCGACTGCACGGACCTAGAAGGACTGAAGTGGAAGTCACACTGCCCTGTGGCCATCCACTGAAAACGACGTGACGCTGCAGCAATGAGTCGGAAATGTGTCTCTTGCGGGCCCACGTCTTGAATTTATAGATTGGCTTTTTGCAACTTTGGAACTCAGAACTTGACTTGCTTGAGGCATTGTCGTCTGAAGTCTTGCTGTCACTAAGGAGGTATTAATTGCACAGATGATGTGTGGTGACGGCAGGATCCGTTTCGAGGAAGCTGGCTTCTCAACTTCTCACGCCAAGATGGCCGAATGATCCCTCTCGAGGTGTGCTTCGTCTCAGGAGCCCGCGAACCTGACTTGCACATACCAGAGGCGCGTGCAGGCCGGACGGATAAAAGCCCTTGCGGAAGTCAGTTGTCGTTCTCAGGCAGCTGGGCGAGTCAGACCCGAACAATGTAGTGCGACCAGGACCTACTGATTCTATTCACTGGAATGCCTCAAAAGATGCTGAACCGTCAGAGTAGCATCTTCACAATCTGCAGGCTGCTTGTGGGCACATGGTGACCCAGAAATGCAACACCGTGCAGCCATGCAGGATGCTTGGCATCAGCACATAGGAGTTGTTATGGGGTCTAAATTCGGACACGAGGCCCGTACAATGCAGCACCGAGGCCTGACTGCTTGTGCTTGCCAGAAAGGCTTTGGTTTGAAGACCTTGGGCCCAAGGCTCTGTGTCAAAGCACATTTGGAGCGTGTATGCAAACCTGAAACTTTGAACGGCTGGGTCAATTTGGGCCAACCGGCTAAGGCTAAGATAAGCCAAGACTGTCGGAAAGTTTCCTCTCACTGCACTGACGCCAAGATTCCTCACAATTGCCTTTTTGGACCTTCAAAGAGGCAATCGGCCCGCTCCGAGAGTCTCGAATTCCAAAGACGACTTAGGACAGCAAGAAGCCAGCAGCCGTGTCTTAAACTGAGGAGACTGTGTGAGCACGTCGGAGCAGCTTGCGGGCATGTTTGCGCTCGTCCATGCAGCTGGCCTGGTAAAATCCTATCACTGGGAGCCGACTTAGGGCACAGGGTGCCGAAGAATGCCCATCTCTGCCATGGCTGGATCACCTTCGCTGACACAAAATTTTATCAATGGCTGTCCTCAAAGTACACAGGGAACTCACATGCCACGCTTCTGCAGTAACGGACGAACCCAAGGTGCTGACGCGCACAGCCATGACGAGTGCAAGCATCCTTGCAAGGCCACTCTGTTTATAGTGTGCGGAGGCTTCGAACTTTGCTTCCCGAAAGCATGGCTGCTTCCAATATAGCCGGGGATTCATGATGTCAAGCCTATGCCATCTACCTCTTCCGCAACCATTCCTGACAGGACCTCCTCCTCTGTGGCCACGTTTGTCAAGCAGGTTGCAGCTTTGACGCAGGAGGACTTCTTACTCTCGGGCTTGAGGTCTAGTTCCAGTGTCTCGTGAATTAAAGGTGGTATCTGTCTTCAGTGATCTGAGGCAGCAAGCCACACACGGTATTCTGCGAGACGCCTTGCACAAGACGATGCACCCATGGCCACCAGTGCCCCAAGAAGTGCCACGCGCCTTGGCCTTGGTATTTCAGTAATTAGTTTTCAAGCTAACTTCCTGCACGTGGAGTGTTTCCTTGTCCGGGCTTACTGGTAACATGGGCGAAAGTGGCATGGCTTGGACATCCAGCTTCGGGCCACCTGCGTCTGTGCCCAGGAGGCTTGCATCCATTGCTACGAACCCTGCAGCTGGAAGTGCTTCTTGGCGCTGGATGCGGGTTGAGGGAGGCAGACAGTTTAGCAGCAACATTTAGCAGAAGGCCAACCACCAGAACTCAACTCCCATCCCACCCAGGTGTGCACCATGCATGCACCAAGCTCTGTCACGAGCTGTGTGACCGCCCGCGGTGCGATGAACCGTGCAAGAAGCTGTTGTGCTGTGGGTGACTCGGCTCTGTCGAAAGAGGGGCAGACTTTGCCCAGGGATGCCTAGAGGGACGTCGGTTCCTCAGGACCGTGTTTTGGTGCACTCTGCGGAATGACAGCATTCTGAGCCCAAGCCTCTTCAAACAAAAGACAACTTCTAAAGATTCCATGATTCCAACCTCCGAAACTCTGAAGTACAGGCATCTTTGCCGCGGACTTTGCGGTGAGCCATGCCCGTCGTGCGTGGAATGTGGACCTCACCGAGACGAGGTGTCTCCTTCTGCTTTGGGGGTGTGGGATCAATTGAAGGTTTGCGGCATCCAGGCATGTTAGGTCCTAGGTCCTTTTAGGTACCAGAGACACCACGCACCGACAAGTAGATGACGCCTGCATCTGCATTCTTTTGAACTTAGCATTGTGAGGGCTGCCCTCTGTCCCTGGAGAAGCTGGTGAAGGCTGGCAAGCTTTACCAGATGCTCCCATGCAATAGCAGAATATTCTGATATTTTCGTTTTCGAGCCGACAACCGAAGCTCCCAGTCTTTCACCCATGAAGAAGCCATGCTCGGAATCATGCCCTCCATCCGGAAACACCGAACATCGAGGCTCGACTGTGGCCACATCTTCTCCCTGAAGCTGCTGGATGTGTACATGGATCAGCACGGGCGGCAGCACGAGGCCCGAGACTTCGGAGCTCAGGGAGGCTTCCGAAGACTATTTTGGGGGTTCCTTATAATAACTATAGTATAATGGGCCCCAAAACCCTATTCTAGTTATTTAGGTCCCTATATTGTGGTTTAGGGCTTCGTTTTGGACTTCTGAGAGATTGGGATCAGTAGCTGACGAGGGAAGTGCTAAACAGTCAGCACCGTGAGAATGTCATAGAGCGCTCATCGCCCGGCCATTGAGTTCTCCTGTACGCACAACCCATGGGCAGAGGGGAGTTCCTTTTTGGGCTGCGCTGGAAGATGTAGTCACGTCGGCTCGGAGGCGCTCGAAAGCGCTGTAAATGTCAGTCGGTCTTTGAGAGAGAGGCCTCTTTCACCGGGCGTTTACTGTATGTCATCCTTTTGGGTTGGCCTTTGTCCTTGCTAGTGATACCAGAACGATGGGGATGGCCATTGCTGCAGCAACATCGTCATGACGACGACGACGA